GGAAAGAGCAGACAATCATAACCTTGTGCATATGCAAGGACCTTAAACATCTTCAGCTGCAACATTCTCTCAGTGTGCATAAAGCTATGTCTCAGAAAACCTCCCTATCTTGATTTTGCATATTTAAAAAACTTACAAAAATTCTCCAACAAATTCTTAAGCCTATGCAGAATTAGAGTACTCCAAGCAGAAAGGTATTCAGGTAATGGAGTACATTTAACACTTGAAGTAATTTGTTCTGACAGCAGGTTGGTCTGAGCACTCAGTATAAAACTTGCCACCTCAGCTCCAGTACACTGAATATCGGTATGTTTTGGTCAGCAAGTTTAGTACATTTTTTTTCTCCATTAGAAATTATTTATTTGTTTAGATAGGTTACATCTGGTCAACATGCTATGTCTTAATGTTTTCCCTGCCAAAATAACATCACCTCTCATTGAACACAGAACAAGCAACAAGGAGCTATATTTTTCCAGCTTAACTCCTGGACTTGATTTTTTTAAACTGAGAGAATAAACATAATCCAACAAGCAACACATTTTTGTGAAGGCTGAAAAGACCTCCAAAGATAAGAAATACTTATTTTATGACAGACAAATATATGTCATAAAGTACTGTAGAGTGTAAGCCAAGCAGACATACTAAACAGGAACAAAACACACAAATACAGGGTTCTCTAGATAAATGAGTCTGCTGTAACATTTCAGAGCATTCTGTGAACTTCCAGAACTGAAAACTGAAGTTACTACACTAACAAAGATCTGTAAAGATTTTCCAAACAATACAATGTTAAACAATTAAAACACAAAGAATTGAAAGTGTTACCTGAGGAAAAGTTCAATGTGCACAACTGCAGGTGCAATCTTTTCCACCACATCTGCTATGAAATTGAATTTGTATCTCGGGCTGCTGGACTGTAGGTGACCTATACTAGCAGAAAGAATTGGATATGTTAATAAGACGTTTTTACCAAGTAGGTGAGATAAATATGCTTTGAATTGGTCTGTTTCTCCTACCAAGATAGTTTACAAATGGGTATAGGGAAAGGAAACAAAGTCATTATGACTGTTCAAAACTTATCCAGCATTTTGCTTCATCTTGATAAAATTTAAATATCAGCATCACTTGGGTCTATGTTCTTTGACTTTCTTGGAAGTCTACAAGCCTTGTCTGGAATATTTTTCTCAGGACGACTACTAATTATTATCCCAAATGCATAGGGTCATAGGATAAGTGAGGTTGGAAGGGACCGCAAGAGGTCTCTAGTTCAACCTCCTGCTCAAAGCTGAGTCAGCTACAAAGGCAGACCAGGTTGCTCAAAGGCTCTGTCCAGCTGGGACTTGCAAACCTTTAAGGATGGAGACTCCAGAAACCCTCTGGACAACTTGTACTGCTGCTTCACTGTCCACAATGAGGTGAAAGGTTTTCTCCTAGCTAGTCTGAAAATCTCTTCTTGAGACTCGTGCCATTTCAACTCATGCCCATTTTCTCTCATCCTCTCACTATGCACCACTGTAAAGAGCTTGGCTCCATCATCCTGATAACCTCCTCCCAAGTACAGGAAGGCTGCTGTTAAGTTCGCCTGAAGCTTTCTATTCTCCAGGATGTACAAGCCCAGTTCCCTCAGCTTCTTCTCACAGAAAATATGTCCAACCTCCCCAGCCATCCTTGTGACGTTTTCCTGACATCACTCCAGTTTGTCTTTCTTGTACTGAGTGGTCCAAAACTGGATGTAGTTTTCTAGATGAGGTCTAACAAGTGCTGCGTAATACAGCTGCAGCAGTTGGGAAGCGCATTTAGAACCCAGGCTGTAGGTAGGATTTTTTGAAGCAGACACATTAGAAACCTCCTGTAGGTAATAACCTTGGCACCTAAAAAGTTTTGTAAATTCACATTGAAACTGTCAGAAGCGGCTGAGCAGAGTACTGAGAGTTCTGATAAAAGCCAGTGTGGTACTACCTTAAACAGCACTACATGCAGCATTTGTGGGTACTGAACAGAACTCTGGGATGAAGATCTTAGCGAGGGAAAAAAGCCCACAGCACCTAGATTCTAACATCACAGCACTACAAAGGAGTAACAGCGCTTGTGCTAGAATGTCATACTTACTACAATCCCTAACACATGGGGACACACCACCACATATGTTAAATACATGTTAGGGGACATTATAACAACACTCAAATAGCAATCTTTCATGTTCACATCCTCATGCTTTAAAATAAACTATAAGACCTAGGGAAGGGACTAAAAGAGTTGTAATTGGCTACAGCAATAACGTTTTTGACTTATTTCATAAATAGTGCAACAGCACACTGTTTATCTCAGGAAAAAGAATTCTTTTTCTGCCATGCAGTGAGGAGGGAGAGGCTCTAACTTCTAAATAATATCAGCTCTTCAGAAGTGATGCTTTGTGCCATCATGATTTGCTCCAAGTCCAACTCATGCTGAAGAATTACTGGACAGCAGCTCTTGCATACCAATGCACACCTGGTTTTAAGGGTTCTAGATTTGCCTATTTCTACATCACATAACATAATAAGTGCAAATATAGATTCTATCTTTTGAAAGCACATCTTTTTCTTTATTCAGCTGTCCTTTACACAAAACTTCAAAAGGAAAGTAGGGAGGAGGCACCACACAAAAAGGAAAGATAAATATAAAAGAAAAGAGAAAAGTTTAAGAGAGTTTTCATGCATTTTGGTGTTTGTGTAGTTTTTAATTCAAAGACCATTTTTCAGCAAGCCTTATGCACAGGTGTTTTACTGACCATTAAAACTTGTAACTTTTAAACTACTTGGGATGAATACAGAGATTACAGCACAATGGAGTCTGACCTAATTACAAAACAGCTGTCTCACTGATGGATTTTATTATTTGAATTGATTCATAAGACAGTGGGTGACAGAGAACTAGTTACAGTTTCTATATTCTCTCAGAAAGCTTTCACAATAAAGTGTTAAAGGACATACAAAGTCAGAAAGTGAGAAGCCTTACGTTACCATAGTATCCAAGAGACCTGAAGCAAAGAGAGGAACTTAGGAATGGACCCAACACTGGAACCAAGGAAGAAAGTGTTGAAGAAACCAGATCAAGACAACTAGGCATTTCTCCATAGAAGTCCATGAGTTCTTCTTCCTGTTACTGGACATGGGATTTACTTCTGAGGGGAAAGAAACCATGCTTACATTTAGCAACCTAAATTTGTATGATACAGTATAAACAGAAGGAACAACTTGGCAGGAGTAGATTCGGTCCATTATTTTTATGTACAGTCTCACGCACTCTGAAAAATCCCTCTAAGCAACCGAATACGCTTGTTGCAGTGCTTAGTTTAAAAGAGACACTGCAAACAGGAATCATGGAGTAGTCAAATGTAAGCACAATATATTGGTATTTATTTTTCTTACTGGGCAGTTGCCCAATTATGCAGCGTATCCTTTGCAGCCTGCTAATGGGAATTTGCATGCCTGCATACACAGCAGTGTTCGCCAACAGGATATAATGTTATCATCACATTTGTCTTGTAGAAATGAACACACACCTGTGAAGGACAGTGGACTAGACCCTCAGCTGATGAGCTAGCATAGAACTTGGAGGCAGAGGGGAAGCATGGTGAATGCAGGCTTTCACTTTGTGTATATCAGCATAGCTCTATGTGAGCCAGGGCAACTAAATTCAGCATTGCACATGGCCAGAAGCAGAGGAGGACGCCTGCCAAAGACCTCAGTTTTGCACCTCTCCCTGAGTAGCTGCCAGGGAAACACCATGGGTGGCAGTGGCTTTCCAGGTGAGATCTGGGGCAGACAGAGGTAGCAGATGAATGTAAACGTAGAAAGCGCTGAAGAAAATAAAATGCAGCAACACAGAGAGGAGGCTGTAAAACCAAAGCAAAGCTTGTCTTCTTCCCATACCAGTGAAAGCATTTCTCAGTCTCAGCAGAAGTACAGAACCTCTCTGCTGAAGCAGGGGCAGCACACAAGAATACTCCAACCTGAAGGTAGATCCAAATCTGCACCATATATTAAAGGGAAATTTCAAACAAAGGAGAATCAAGAATAACAGATATGCAGACTTTGTAAGAAAGGCATAGCCAAAGACCTACTGGCATGATTAGAGGTGAGCTGCTCTTACTGTGGCCTGCTGAGGTCTAAATACTGATGAAAACTGACTTACAAAGTTGAGATGCCTTCATAAAAACTCTTGAATCATTTTCTGCAAGCTGGGAATGATGAGAACCTTGAAACACATTCTATGACATGCCAGGAACTCAGACTGTGGACTTGCAAGATGCAACTGCAAACTTTTACTCTCATACATACAGCCCTATTTAAGGGAACTGACACGTTGGTTGCTATGAATAACATTTTAGTGCATAATTATTAAACTGTTGGTTTTCATCAGAAGTTCTCAGTATACTTTACAAGGGAGGAATTGCAGCCTGAGAAACCAAAGAAGGAAGCAACAGCCAAAGCTATATATGCTCCACGTCACCCTGAAAACAGGTGTTGTAACTGTAGCAGTAGAATGAGGGCTTTATGTCAGACCTTCAATCTGTCCTTTGCATTAGTTGGCAGACACTAGCTGCTGTTACTACTGTTCTTGCTAAAACATAAAATTAAATATGTCTTTCTCTCCCAGTCCCACACCCCACCAAGACTTATTGTCCTGCAGTTTCAAGCAGCTTTCAGACCTCTGCTGGACTGTGAATGTAAAAGCTCAGAGTTTACAGCAGCTTGGTCTATTCTGACCTATTGACCTACTGAGATTCGCCCCAAGTTTTTTCAAAGGTCTCTCAATAACACCCATTATTTTCCACATTATTACTGCATGTTCAAAACCATCTCTCACTAACCAAAGCTAACTTATCTTGGCAAAATAACATAATTAATCCAATTAACTACCTGTTGTATAACCAAGATACCAAGGGTGCAGCAACCAGGTTGTGCTTGAAGCAAAAACAAATTTATACTGTATGAGTTTCTCTCTAGCTGTCTACACATTTCAGAAGAACTAGATTTTCCCAATCTGCTCCATACCCACAAACCAACCAGATTTTCAGCAGTTCTTACCTCCCACCCTAACATTTCAGTTAAGCAATTAGATCTTCAGGAGCTCTCCAGCTCTTCACACAGAACTCTCAAAAGCCAGATTTGGATCTGAGTGCATAAACTGGAGTTAAAGATATTCAGTCTACTTTGTAAAATGTGATCTTATGTTTCTTCTTCTATGGGCCCCAGCTAGATCGGATTTACACGGCTAAAGCTAAGTACCTGTCAGGTAGGAGTATTCTTATTATTAACTTATAGACTCCTTCTGGATAGTAATGTTATCTACAGTCTATGCATTCATTCGAATCTATGAGTTTATTTATTTTATTTATTTATTTTCTTGCAGAGGCAACAGACCCACTCCAACCTCATTAACACTGATGCAAATAAAGAATAACTCCAATAAATTTGTGGAATTAACCTAGTAGGAAGAGAACTGAAAAAAAAAAAAATTCAGCAGAATTATCATATGCTAAATGAAGATAATAAAGCTAGATCAACTTACATTTGCAAAAGACTGAAAGTTTCTGAGTATCTGCCAACTTACTCCCTGAAGACTTAAATCAATGCTTTCTTAAGGACAATACATTGTATTAAAATCCATGATTTTATATTCATTAAGAATTTATGGGCCTGAGAAACTCATTCTTCTAATGCTGTTTCCCCACCCCCCTTTTAAAACCAGCTTCAGAAAAGATCTGTGTGTTCAGCAAAATTATTATGTCTAAGGGAGGACTGCAACCTGGCAAATCTGATCACCAGGGATAAACACTGTCCCTACTGTGCTTTCATGGAAAGAAATGAAAGACAAATAAAAGATTACAGCGTCTCTGCTTAAAAAACAGAAACATCTGCTGGAAACATAGGT